AACAAACCGGAATAAGCAGATGTGTAAGCTCCTGTTCAAAGGTGTAAGGCTCATTAATAGTGTTGCTGTGCACCATATTTACACTACACAACAGCTTCAACTTCCTCTCTTTCGACGACAAACTGTTTAATGACATCTCTCAAAAAAACGGCATTTAATCATTCAAAGAGCTGCCTGTTTGAGTAAAGATGATTTATGTAGACAGCTTTTGATGGCGGTTCTCAAAGTTGACGATGTGACCCGAGCTCCAGGAGTGCATCTATCATGGAAATAATTCTCATCAGTAACACTGTAGGCAGCCCGCTATTAGTATCCCGAATGAATATATGCAAACAGATGTACAGCCCTGCATCAGTGTATATGCTTAGCAGCCAATTTCATATTCAATTAAATGGAGGAAGATTGGAATAACGTCACATGTGGCATGTGTGAAAATAATTTGCATATTCACCCCCATCCTCACAGGCCCATCTTCTCCTTCTGTCCTTCACTCTCTGATTCCTCCTTTTTTTTTTTTTCATCCTCCTACGAACGACTGGAACGTGATGTGACGAAGTTTAGGTCGCTGTGCCTCTCCCCGCATGTTTATTTAATGCATCGGAGCTGCTTCCATACAGGTTGCTATTACCGCTGATAGCAGGCGATTGTTTTCCAAGGCAGCCGTAATGACCGGGGATATTGCTCTGGTATTATTATTTTTTCAGCATTTCCGTGTCTTTTTTTTTTGTTTGCATGCATAATTCTGCGTCTCTCATTGATTTAGAGAATGGTAAAGCAGTTTGTTAAGCAGCTTTTTTCCCCCTCCCTTTCTTTTGCATTCTTTATTTTGCATATGTGCGCATGTTTTGGGTTTTTTTTGGCTGCTTGTGTGTAGTTTCAGCTCCGTGCATTCAGCATACAGGAGCGTGTGTGTGTTTGACAGAAAAAAAATGAGTATGTGTGCTTGAAAGAGTACTTGTTGAAGCATGGTTGTCTCATTGAAAAATTTGTTCTGAATCCCATATATATGGATGAGTAAATATTAGTCATCTGGGGACAAACATGCATCAGTCAGCCGTGCCGCAGATTATATATGATGGTAGATGGAGTATGTTTTTTCTCCCCTAACATTTCCCATTTCTAATTCTCTTTGTGTATTTTGTCTCTGTAAATGTGGTCATGGGCTTATTGAGTGTATTTCTGTTCCCTGCGCACTTATACATCCTATGTAGAGTGATTGCGAAGCAAAGACTGGTTTAAAAGCATCTAGAAAACCACTTAAACGAACCAAAGCACTGAAGTTTAAAAAAAAAAGAAAAGAAAAGAAAAACATCAACCAGCAAAGTGGTTGAGACAAATTTGTTCTCGGCTTTGTGTTAATGGTAGCCAAACATGAAATTGTTTAATATTCGGGATAGTAATTTTAATTGAATTAATTTCAGAAGACATCGTAAGGCACTGATGGTGTCATAAAACACTTGTTATAGCTGCTGTTCATCACTGTGATGTAAATTATGCCCAGTGATTGCTCAATGATGTTTTCCTTCAGGGACATGATGTTGTAAAAGAGAAAAAAAAAAAAAAAAAAAAATTGTAATTGGCTCCAAAGGGCACATGATGTGTTGGTGCCGTAAGGGAGAAACACAAAAGAGGGTTATTTCCTCTCCAGCCATGTTTTTTTTTTTCCCTCCCCGCTGACATCCACGCGCTGTGATGCATTCTGCGGTTCTGTTTTTCAAGGAGATAGGAGCGAAATTAAAAAATAAATGCTTGTTTTACAAACGGCGATAAAGACAAGTCGACAGTAAGCAGCGCTCCGACAGCGGCAGAGGATAAGTGAGGACGCGGAATTTTGTTTCAAAATGAGACTCGAGATTTGTGTGTACAAAAAAGAAAGATATCTACTCCTGGAAAGCGATCCGGTATGCGACACTAAAGTCAAAATCATTATGAAATATCGAAGGTGGACGGTAACAAAAGACTGTTTCAAAGCTGCAACACTTGTGAAAATCTAATCTGGTATGCTTTTCAAAACGCAGTGTGCATTATGTAGTCGGTGTCGAGGATGTGACCTTCTTTTTTTTTTTTTTCAAATATATTTTTAAACATATTTTCGAGTGTTCTTGACTGCATCGTAACCAATTCATCATCCCCTCTTCTTATGGATGCGCTGGGTCCCTGACTTGGGAGTTGACGTGGTCAGCTGGACAGATGAGACATGGGGTCTGTGTGCAGCAGGATATCTGCCCTGGACATCATGGCTCAGCACACTGACAGCTGGTGCACCCTTGTTGTGCGCCTGTTTATGTGTGTGTGTTTTTGTTCGGCTGAATTGTCTCTCGAGAGAATAGCAGCTGCAGACAAATATCAGGTCAAACTCCGGTGCGTGTCTTTGAAAAAAGTGCAAGAATAAAAATCACTCTCCTGTGTTCTTTTTCGCGAAACCGTGCAGGACGCCGCGCGGCCACGAGGCCTCTGCGACACGCCCGCCATACTGTGTCAATTAAATCATTGTCATTGGCTGTACGATCAACCAGGGAGGCATTTAGCATCCAGTGTTTGTTGTTTGCGAGTGTACAAAATGATCTGGCAATGGGCTCGGATGCATTTGACAATTAATGGCGGCTTTAGCCGATCACACTCTGTGGAATCTAATGCAGTGCCCATAGTGCTGCTGCATGTCTATTTGATTTGTGCATTGACCCGCAAGCAGTCTGTTAAGTGGCTGGTACCCCCTGTGTGTGTGTGCGCGTGGGCGTGTGCGTGCGCGCGTTGACTTTGAAGTATGTTGTGTCGTGACAATAATCTAAGCCAATTTACAACGCATCAGCCCTCCATTATGGGTTTGACATAAAGCAGCGCGTGACTAGAATGCCCTCCCATAAAATGACAATTTACTTCTCCAAAGAAATTACGTGTTTAACCTCATTAACCCAAAGTACATGTGCTAAAACGGAAGACTAACCCCCGCCCCTCGTGACACACGCAAGCACACACAAACACAAATTGGAAACATCATCAAAAGTTGAGAGTTCACGCTGAATGTGACCCCTGCAAATGAGAAGCCAGCGGCGAGTTAGCAGCATCGGGAGTTCATCAAGCCATTCTCACAACTTGTCGGGCTTCTCAGGTGGCTTCGGTTTCGCTCTCTGTTTCAACATCATCTGTCCTCTGTGAGATGATTAACCTGGCAGGTGCGAGGTGAGTCTCGCCCACTGTTTTAGTGAGCTGTCGTCTTCAGTCTGCAGGGAGTACAGGGGGGTCAGCCCAACCGGCTAATGGCCATGGTCACAAAGCTGGAAGCCGGCCCATTAGAAGAAGCCGCCGTCATTAGGACCAACACATTTTCAAACAACCTGACCTCCTGGTCCCACGCTGTTTATTAGCAAAGTTTTGGCTCTCCTTTAGAGCAATTATATTCAGCATTCATGATGAACTGTGGCCTTTTCCTCGACACCACGAGATGAGAAACACACACTCACATACATAGTAAATAATGTCAGGCGGTTGTGTTGTCCTGAATAGAGCGCTGCCATATTTGTTTCTCTGCAAACGCGCCGCAATAAGGAAATGTGCTCGGAAAATGGGAAAATGGCAAAGTGTCAGCAAGTGATGTATGTCGTTCATTGGACACAGAACATTTAGTTTTCATTAAGAGTTAAACATGTACACGAAACATTAATGGGGTTCAGCGACAGCAGCAGTGGCGTGCTTCACTGTATCTCATCCTGATGAATTAGCGACTCAGCACACACGGGGGTGAAAGAAAAAGGGAAAAGAAAGAGAGACATTAATATAATGTGTTGTGGGGGAGGAACTGACAGATAATGTCTTTATCTAAAGATTGGTATTTATGACGCAAGGTAATATTATCCCTGACCTGGGCATCAGCAAGCTGTAAGGATGAACAAAGGCTTGGGTGAGGGAGGAGACGACGGCAGGAGAGAAAGGTCAGCATGAGTGTTGCCGTTTCATTATGAGAGATGTGGACTCCCATCCTCTCCTGCTGCACAGGGAGTGATGGAGAAGGTTGTTAATGCCCGGTCTGTCAGCCATATTGGATTCAGGGCAGTAAATTAATATTACACTCCTTTTAAAGGGGTTTTATTTTGGGATTTACTGGTCTCCCCTGAGTGTCGGTGGTGTAAAGAGGTTATTTCCCTCTTTCTACTCCGTTCTGTGTCCTCTTGCTATCTCTTGCACAAGGCTAATATGTTTAGAGAGAGAGAATCTGTGTTCATGGAGGAGCGATGTGCGCGCTGTAGGCTCTTTTGTGTCATTCAGCGTTTGTATGGAACATTTTTCAGTAAGCGCCAAAGTCTGCGGTGAACCGTATCTCTGCACAGTGGAGACGTATCTCCTCTCGTCTTCTTCCACATGTCCTGTATGTCATACAAGATTCTGAAGGAATGAAATAATAAAATAAAATAAAAAAAAACTTCTACTGTGTATAGCAAGTGATTTTGAGTTAACTGGCTGTCTAGCTGTCAGTCATCTTTAACCTCCCTGCCTCTTGCCCTGTCGTGCTTAATGCGGGAGAGTTAGAGTCTCGGTTGAAGAGCCGTATAACACAGTGTGAAGTGGCCTAGTCGCTGAGACGGGATTTATGGCTGCTGGTCCATCAGCGGTGATGTTAAAGGGGCTGTGATTAAGAGCTGGAGTGAAGACATGGACTCCACTACCCCTCTGACCCAGCCAAGAGCACACAAGGCCGAGCTCTGTCACTGCCAACTCTACTCCATGCAGCTCTGTCGGGCTTTTTTCACTCTGTCTGTCCGTCTGTTTGCATCTCTTGTCTTCTTCTGCCTCATTCGCATGCACAAGTATAAGCTGATATCCACCAAGGACGCCGAATCTCTGCGTTAGATATCGGCTGTGTTTTCGCTCACTCGTCGAGCAGCGACGAGCACCAAAAGGTTTTACTGCTCCTGCCTCCGTTGACAGCTGGAGAAGCTTTAAAAAGCCTTTTTCATTTTTACGTGGCATCCCTCTAAAAATCTCTGCTTTGTTTATCCTCCAAGGTTCGGAGCACGCCGCCACAGCAACCCTTCCCGCCGCCTTCTCGGACCTGTTACCTCACTTCCTCGTGGAGCCCGAGGACGAGTACATCGTGAAGAACAAGCCGGTGACTCTGACCTGCCGCTCCACGCCGGCCACACAGATCTACTTCAAGTGCAACGGCGAGTGGGTTCACCAAGACGACCACTTGATCGAGCGGACTGTCGATCCAGCCACAGGTACGCGATTCATTTTCATTTAATATTGGGTCAAATTGGGCTTTTTTTTTTTCCCTCCTGGCGTTTTCATCTGTTTCCCGGACGTCATTTCCTACATATGCATAACGTGTGCCACATTATGTAAAGTGTTTGTGTGCTGAAACTAAGGTTTGCAATTTGCCAGTGATTACTGTGCTCCATCAGGCTCTTGGCTCATCCTCCAGCCTATTTAGCCTGCCAGTCTCATAATAAGCACATTGGTTTCAGTCTCAGAAATCTTCTCGATCACCTTGGAGACCTGTTTGTTTTTCTCTCTGTTGTGCTGCAATCCCCCGCCTCCGCCATCAGTGTCATAAACATGTATGACACTGATGTGGTGTGATTCAGCAGCAATCTGCAAATTCGAACCACCCATTCACAGCCTGACAACTGATTGGGAGTGAGAAATGTGGAAATGGCAGAGGGGTGGTTTTTTTGGGGGGGTAGAGGGGGAGTGCACATACAAGCACACATGCAAAAGCACAGTCGGTTTTGTAGATGTAAATGACGCACTCACATGTTTAAAGGTACAATAATGGGCAACGACTGAGATCTATGCCCAAAAAAAAAAAGAAAAAACAGACGTGCCAATCAGTTTCTGCACACAAAGACAGGAAGGGGCAGCAGGAAAATCTGAAGGGAAATTTAATCAGAAATGTATCAATTCATATGCACACAGTGCCTCTTTGTTTTAAGATAAAGAGCTCACAGTGTTAACATTTTATCCATCTGGTCTTTGGGGTTTGTAATTAACATGCTGCAGCTCAGCAAGTGTTGGCAAAAAACTGTCTAAAAAATGTCACGGTGTCTGAGTCTAAGTGTCTAAGTATCAATTCAACCTGACGCGTCGGTAGGTGAGGATTTCTGATCTAGTCTACGATATTCTCCCATGCTGAGGCTTTGATTAGTGAACGTGCTGACATGTCCTCTCCTGCTCCGCTCTTTTTATCTAATATAACAAAACTCTCGATTTTTAAAAAAAAAATTCTCTTCTCCATGAGTGACTTTGAAACTGATTTAAACTTCAGCTCTCAGCAGTACGGATGTCGTTTCATTGTACTGCAGAAGTTAGACAAGACTGGAATGTGGTTTTATTTCCATAGAGTCTAGTTGGGAACTGAATAAACCTCACATCTTGTTTATAGCGCTTCACTTCGTGCCCCACAACCTTCCCGTCACTCACGCGCAGCCCTCTGCTGTTTGATTTGTTTTTTACCTTGGGCATGAGGCACAGCTTTTTGGATGCCGGAGTCATTTTGGAGTCAGGCTCTTGTAAATAATGGCAATGAAAGAGTAGGAGAAGTTAATTGTAGCTCACTTTTTCAGCATGAAAAGTGAGCACACCAGGGAACATTTGTGGATTTGCATCATTAGGAAAAAAAATTGTCAGTGAGTCAACAGTGATGAAATTTGATCTCTCTCCTTGTGTTTCATTAGCAGTTCTACTTCTCACACTTTCCTACAGTTGTTGATTGCAGTGAAACAAACAGTAATTAAGGTGTCCTATACCATAAATATAGCCCTGACAGAGAAGCAAACCACTATCTGCTATAAAAAGATGTGAGACCATTCGTGAGTACTTCTTTGTGTGCTGTGCTTCTCTATTGTGTGTTTCGGCTGCTCGTGTGACCGTACCTGCATGTTTGTGCGTTTGTGTCCCTCACTTTGAAACTGTCGGTCCTCCCTCATTACATTATAAAACCATAGTTCAGCCTGAAAGATTCTCTTGTTGCCTCAAATACCCAAAGAAATATTTCAATTATGCTATTTACCTAATTAAGATGCACTAATTTCAGCTTAAGCTACTGTCTTGTCTGCTTCTCCTTCGCTCTGCTTCATCTGCTCTGACTATTTGTTTACCATGTTGGTTTAGGAGTGTGTTGTTTAACCTGCTTTGTATCTCAAACTCACAGTGAAACAGACACACACTGACCGGAACAGATACAGCAGAGCGAGTTGAGTTGACAAAAACTTTAAATACCCATGCAGTGTATTTTACAATGCCACTGTGAGCCACTCTGTTGTAGTTGGAAATTAAACATAAATGAAGGTGGAAGTCGTGGTCGACGCTCCTGCTTTGTTTTGATCTGCAACACTGGAGCTCCAGAAACATCCAGTGGTTCTGAAAGCCACATGCAGCACCTTTAAGTAGGCAGGTTAAAGTTGGATTTGTCCAATAAGCCGCTTTCTCAAATGTAATGATAAGAAGAAGCCAAGTTTCTGGAATCGGTGTAGAAGATTAGAGAAATACGACTTTCCCATGGAGATTTCCAGGAGTGCAGACTTCTCAGCCATGTATATGGGTAACCGGGTTTCAGAGCAGCTTCTTACAAGCACCGACAGAAGACAGGAGACAAAGAAAGTGTGACAGCAGTGCAGCTGGCAGAAAAGGGGAGATAATTAATTAAAACAATTCCATCTAAAGTGCAAAGTGAAACTGAAATTAACACAAGTACTCTAGAAACTTTTAAGTGGCCTCTAGAAGTTTAAATAAGTCAGCTGAGGTTTTGGCCATTTTTAAAATTAGACTCCTTGAAGCTGTGAGAGGGAGAGAGAGTCTTCTGTCACTAATAAATGAATGTGCATGTAAACTTGATTTATGGAGCGTCTGAACTGCATGTCAGATATCACTGGAACCCATCCCTCTAACATCTGTGTAGCCCATGATATGTAACTTTCCGAAAACTGATCCAACATTCACTCTCGCTTCACGCCGTGATTGACCAGCTGTGCAGAGAGGAGACAGGCGTCGTACTTGTCATTCCACTTCTCCTTTTTCTCCGTTATTCTTGACACTTTTCATGTGTACAACTCAATGCAACTCTCTCTGGAGAGACTGTCTGAAAATGTGCACCGTTATCCCCATTTCCCCCCTCTGTTTTACGGCCGGCTTTTTACTCCAGCTTCAGAACGAATGTAAACAGAGCGCTACATCTGAATAAGTAAATGTGAGAGACAATAGCGTGGCCCAAAGAGCAACCTAAGTTCATGTAAATACACTGATCATATGATACACAATCACTGCCTGCAGTTGGGTGACATTGTGGAGGCTGCTCCTTAACTTTGCTGTGGTAAAATCTGTGTTTTGTCAATAACTAAGGAACATGATGTGCCCCATAAACTGCAGAATTTATGAGAACATCGCATTACAAATGCAACGTTGCTCTGCCAGTGTTTAATGATGATGGACCATTTGCCATGTGGTTATGAGTCGTTATAGTCAGCATTTATTTGTCTATGAAACAAGTCTGTCGTGCTGGGTGCCGCGGCTCCCTGCAGCAGCGAGGGGGCTCCATCTTTAGAAACCCTGTGAAGTTCCAAGGCTCCCTCGCAGCTCTCCACATCACCCGCCGCCCTTTGATGATGAATGTTTCATATGTAGAGCCGTGCGGTTATGAAGGACATGCGGTTGTCCTGAGGTATGGCTGCTCCAAGGTACCCACATCGATCTCTCAAACACTTGTGCTGTTTAATGTCACCACTGCCCCGAGGAGTTTACTGATGGCTCTGTCTAATCCCCCCTTTTCCTGCAAGAAACATGTGAGCTGCACACATCCAACTAGGGTAGAGCTGTGTGTGTGCGTGCAGTGCAGGCTTGTCAGGCTGTCCTCTCACCCTGGTCGTCACAGTCACACTGGACTCTAAACTCGTACCTGTTGCCAAGCAACCGAGACTTCTGTCACACCAGAAGCTGCCCGATATCAACATCATGCCTTGAGGAGGGAGAAATGAAGAGTTTGGACACATATCCAAGTTGAAAAAAAATTGATTGACAATTTATACCTAGTGGAACAGAGAAATATCACTGGGAAAACACTTTTTTTTTTTCTTTTTTTTTTATTTATTTTCTTTGACAGAAACTTTCTCGCTGACTCCCAGTGGTCGCCCCTGCCCATCCTCACCAACCAGTACAATCCAGCGCTTGTCTTCTCCAGTGAAAAGAAGCATAAATAGCATGTATCATGTATATATCAGCCTCCGTTTAATTGGCTGGCATGTTCAAACTGACAGAGATTGTCATCAAGTATCCCCCCTTTTCTTTGTTATGTAAATGAAAAATGGTGCTCTTAATTCCAACAATGAAATAACAGAAATTGCATGCAGGCAGGAATGAAGAGTCGCCGCTGAAGATGAAGTGATCAGTTGTTGTTGTTCTCGTCTCCTGTTCATCATGATTGTTCTTTCAGTCTTTGATGAATGACTGGACCATCAACAGTGAAGCACGTATACAGAGACTTGATTAAACGTAAAGGATCAGATGTCTGCACAATACTGGCTGTACAGTAAATAAAACATGTGTACAGTGAAGATGTCAGTTTGTATGTGTGTGAATATATAAATCATTATCTAAGAAAAACATCCCTTCTCTTATTAATATTTTTGAGTTGGGTTCTTGAGATGCAGATTTTAATCAGCGATTAAACAAGTCAGGAAAAAAAAAACAACAACTATATTTTGAAGTTTATTTATTTTTCTTTAACCAGAAAACCTCTCTGAAATTAAAAAAAAAAGAAAAAATCCCCAGTGAGTGCCCTGGCCAAGATAGGCAGAGATAACAAGTTACAGACAAACAAACAAAACACAGAGGATTGCAATAATAAAATCATGAAAACCATTTTTTATTTTTTTTATGCACTTGTGTAAAAGATTTAATCGCACAAACAATCTAATCTGGCGCCTTGAATAACTAACAAGCTGTCTAAATAACATACAAATGAACAAGTCTCATCCAAAACAACAGCTTATCAATAAGCAACAAAAAGATTTAAATGTATTTCAATATATTAGAAGCCAGAAGAGGCATCGACTGGAACTACAAAAGGTGCCAGGCAGATGGAGCAGCATACATAAAAGTGAGATAAATTTAAATTAGACCAAGGTGAAAAAACAATTAGTGTTGCAGCTGAGCAGAAGAACAATTCTCATTTCTTCTCAACAATATGATTATGATGTATGCCACGATATAAATTTGTCTTCCGTAT